TCGCGTCGTACCGGAGATCAAGACTCTAGAGGATAACGAAAGATTTTGTGACATCCTGCGTAAGACCCTCAAAGAGCATCTTGTCGTGATTCCGAAGTTGGCAATGGGCGTTCTGGAGTGTCGGGATCTTGTAGCACCAGGCGTGATGGATCAATTTATGAACACTCTCCTTCGATCGGTATGGAAACTTCCAACATCCGGGATTTCTACCGCTAGCTATGCGGGTGGCTAATTTGCCCACGATCTCTAGAGGATTTCCCGTCGGGTCATTGCAGAGCAGCACTTAGCCTTGACAGAAACTTTCAGCTCTCCCTGGCACCTCCCAGGCTCGCAGGACCGGACTGATATGAACGCAGACTTTGTGGGCGAGGTATTTCTCAAGTGCAATGCGAATGAGGTGATTGAACGTTGCGGGAAGCTTGCGCAGGATATGATGCGGCAAAGCTCGGGAACAGACAAGATCCCTGAGATCCTTGTACAGGGACATCTTGAAGCGACTTTCCCGTATATTCTGAGCCATTTAGAGTATATCATTGGCGAGCTCCTGCGCAACTCTATCCAGGCTGTCATTGAAAAATACAAGGAGTCTTCCGAGAAGCCTCCGCCCATCGAGGTTCTTATCTGTGAGGCGCCTCAACATGTGATCATGCGAGTATCGGATCAAGGGGGAGGCATACCTCGTGAAGTTATGCCATATCTGTGGTCGTTCGACAAAGGCCCTCTGAGCAAATCACGACTCCAGAATTTGAAACAGGTCCCTGCGATGGCAGCTACGATGCAAGAGCTGACAGTGCCCAATGAACGGAAACACGCCGACAGGGAAACATACCGAGAGGGCTCGCTTGACTCGCTCACCTCTCGTCCACCTAATCTACGCCTTGGAATTGGCCTTCCTATGAGCAGGGTCTACGCAGAATATTGGGCAGGCAGCCTTGAGTTACATAGCCTTGAGGGCTATGGAGTGGATGCATTCCTGCAGATATCAAAGCTCGGCAACAAAAACGAGCAAGTCACCACAAGAGCATCCATTGATGCTGTTTGATTGTTAGGAGTCTAATATGCCGACCCACTTGCACCTCATGTTACACCTCACCTCACACATGTCACGTTTGTTTGTGTGGAATATGGAAGAAGCATGAGCTGAAGGAGTTGGGAGACTTATTAGATCGACATGTAACGACACGTACATGGGCGTACAATATAACCACTACTGCGAAGTACAGAAATGTACACTCATATTTCACATTCTGGCTAGCACCAACAAAGCCACAACCATCACTCGGTCGATATTTCCGAAACAGGAATACTCCGTAGCAAATAATGATCCGCACGCGGAACATTGCGGGATGACATCAGTGCTTCATAAGGGCCAAGATGTTTCTGCCTTCAGCCCTGTCTTAAGCTTTTGGACAATTGCAGAGTCCTCCTGTTGGCCTATTGTATGTATGATTGTATCGTAATCTTCGGTGGCGTGGCTGTTGGCTGCTGATCCCTCTTTCGCCTTCAACCATACAAAATGAAGCGTCTCAACTCCTCTATAGATGACAACACTCCCATCTATATAGTTATCTTGTTGTTCGCGATTCTGTTTCTCAGCTTCTTGGGAACCTCCTGGAGTCCCAACAAACCCTCAGTCAAATCATCGGAAACTTAGCAGAGTAGACACTACGTGGACAAAATGGCAGGCACAGCGTCAATGCTATGTTTGATTTTGGTCACTCTCTTCAGTAAGCCCCTTGTTGCTCGTCTTTACACAGTCAAATTCCCCATCGACCAAACGGAATCTTGCCTGTTTTGATTGATTTCGTTCAAGAAGTATCAGCACGAATGATCGCTCCTCTAACCTGGATTTGATTGCTAGTACCGCCTCTCGGCGTACTTATGATTTCAGGCTGTAGTGTGGATTTCTTCATCAATATTCTGCTCACGATCCTAGGGTGAGTGAAGATTTTCTCTAGAGTTTGAACCTGCAAGGCAGTACCTTCTCGATGCGACCGTCCTTCGGCAGCTGAGGCGTACGGAGCAGTCTGCTGATAGATATAGATACTTCCCGGGTCATATCCATGCCTTCTATCTGGAATACGTCTACTATCACAACCGCAATACGGACCCAATGACTCGGAAGCGCGCTCCTGGGGTGTATTCGGAACGCATTCTGCAAGGACACAACGAAAGGTCATATGGCAGCACTGCTTGAACGGGCTTATCCGACTGCGACCGATTCAGGATATGAATGACGAACACTATACGGACCATCACAGGAAGAGTGTTTGGGCTTGATGATCAGATGATGCCATGTTGCTTTGTGTATGAGTTTTCCCTTTTCTGGACTTTGACCCGGCCCAGCCCTGAATTCCAGTTACAAGGTTATGGCCATTTGATTTCATGTCTACGTTCTATGGCATCTTACGGTTTTGAACGACTCAAGAATACTTATAATGAATATTTCAACAAAATGAAACTGGCAATCAAAAACTGCCCTTCATTATTCATCGACATACTACTAGACTCTAGGCCGTCTGAGCACCCGATTCAGCCGCCTTAGCAGCAGAGGCCTTGCTTCCCTTCAAAGCAGGAAAATCAAAAGCCCCACTGCTCACCACAGTACCGGCCGTCCGGGGCATAGCACCGGAGCCGGGACTCCACCACAACGCACCAACCCAGGGCTGCACATTCCAGCCCACAGAGAGCGTCACGTTCTCGCGCTCCGCGAGCTTCCCTGTAATGTCACTGATCTGGTACTTAGCCCGTTGATTGCTCAGACGGAGCACGCCCGGCGCGAGAGTCTCCTTTTTTGAGGCTGATGTTTTCTTCGAGGCGGAAGTGCTTCGCTTCTGGTTCTTGCGGGCCGAGGAGGACGACTTGGCCGGGAAAAAGCGTTGGCGCAGGGCATTGAACGAGTAAGGCGATTTTGGGGCGGAGATGATGGTGTCCCAGATGATGGACTCAGAGTTGGGGAGAAGAGAGGACTTCTTGTCGGAGGACGAGTACGAAGCGTAGACGTAGACGAAGATTTGTTTTGTGTTCCAATTGAAGAGCGAGGAGAGGTCTGAGAGATCTAGATTCAGCTCGGGAATCGCGAGCGGAGTTTATCAGATACGTACCAGCATCCAGATCGAACCTGATCTGAGCATACTCTTCCTTCTTGGTTGAATAGTAATTTGGCCGACCCTTGATTCTACAAATTGGGATAATCATTAGCAAACACATCCAGATGAATTCAAATCATCAACAAACGTACACCTGGACATTTTTCAACGTGACCTCAGCCTTCGCGTCATGCGCAGGACACAGTAGCACTGACAGCGCAGCGACTCCGGCAACAAACAAGGCGACGGTGGTGAAGAAGCCAAAGACGCCCTGCGCTCTGTTCAGGGACGAGTGCATCTCGTTTATTTACACTGGATAACTCCAGTGTGATAAGCTGTCTTTGGACTATCGACTGGTTAATTGAGAACAACAAGTTTAATCAAATATTTCTAAGCCGCATAGAACGAAATGAACAGGAGGAGCCAGTTCCCCAATGATGCCAAGGGCAAAGCGGCACGATGATGCTTGAAGCCACCTCGGCCTTTTCGATGCAGGCGGTCAATAAACAGTGGCGCAGTTACTCGCACTAGCAGTGTCTTATCGATAAGTGGTGGGTCTCCTCCTCTTTCTATCTCGACAGTTTCCCCTCATTGAATCCATGAGAATGGGGATGAGGCAATGAAACAGGGCTTCTAGAGATCATCGGTCAACGAGCATCTCCTGACTCGCAAGTCAGTAATCGTCGCAATACATCAAGCCGCACCTTCAGTCCGAGCCGCAGCGCGGAAGAGTTTCCCTTCCCAAGCCCATCCCACCAGCTACCTCACCGTCACCTAGCGCATGAAGCACAGAAGTACTACTGAGTACTCACCAGATAACCCGATATGGGGGACCACGTCCTCTTTTTCTACGGTGAGCTGCTTGTCCATGACCACCCACTCTAGCACGTACCCAAACGATAAACATCGCTTGCCAGACGCCTCTCACCTACCGCAACCAGTCACTCCAGCACACCAACTACGTAAACCACCAAATACACAAACCCGTACTAACAAACGCAGGAACCCTGATGGCCCCGCAAATCCTCCACAGAGTCATCCACGGCCGCCCGGACCCAGAACCCTGGCAAAAGGCCATGCTCTCGTTCAAGCCCGCCATCCTCCACGGCTACCGCCGGCACCGCGTCCGCGGAGCCGATTACCCCGGCATCGTGCCCTGCCCGAGTAATGATAAAGGTTCGACAGGAGAATCCGGCAGCGCCTCCGTACTGGGGACTGTCGTCTCGGGGCTGACGGACGGGGACGTGCACCGGTTGGATGTCTTCGAGGGGTCGGAGTATGTTAAAGAGAGGGTGAGGGTGCGGGTGCTGGCGGAGTCATTGAGTGTGGGTGGGCGGCAGGAGGCGAGCATTGCGAAGAACCCGGATCGGCACCTGAAGGATGTGCTTGATGCGGCCGGGGCGGAGTTTGCGGATGAGAGGGAGGAGGTGGAGGCTTTGACGTATGTTTATGTGGCTGGGCAGGATCGATTGGAGGATGCGGAGTGGGATTTCGAGGCCTTTAAGAGGGATAAGATGGCGTGGTGGGTTGATGCGGATGAGAGCGAGTGGTGACTTGGGCCTGAGACGGATGTCGGTCTTCAGATATATCATACCATAGAGAGCAGCCAGCATAGAGCAATTGACTTCCAACCTAGATCGTCTTCGTTCCGGAAAAGTCTATATCTAAGACAACTCGAGTGAATACATGCCAGCTTTATGATGGCAAAAGTGAGACCATACGTATGCGGCTGAATGCTCGAATCGAAAATAAAAATATAACTCATATGCAAATATGCAATGCTTGGTATCTCATCCATTCCGCAAAAACAAATGATCTTCCATGCCCGTATCTCCGAAACACCAAACGAGAGAGCAAATCGTCTATGTGTGCTTTAAAAGTGAGATAAAATCCGCATCCTCTCAAGTATGCTCAAGCCCTTTTCTTGAGCGACCTCGGGCTCTTTCGAACACCATCCCGCCTGTCTGTTGACAACCCCGGCGGAGGCGTCCCAAGGACTTGAACCTCAACAATGCTGTCATCCGCTGATTGATGAGGTATCCGTATTTGTTCTGCGCCTTCTTCAATAGGTTTTGGACCCTGAGGCTGAGATCGCGCCTGTCCGCCTTGAGAGTCTTCAACGTGAAGGAGATAAGGCGACGTCTCATTCTCCGGTTGAACTTGTTCTTGACTGTCAGGGACCTCGACAACCTCCTTGTGAGTAGTGCTCCCTGATGCACTTGCTGCCATCGTCCGAGGCGGTGACCTTTTCGCTTTCATCTTACTATCTGGCGTACCATCTCTGGACGAGCTCCTAGCCACGGACTGCGAGTCCCCTACTCTTGGCTTCTGAGCAGGCTCTAAACCGGACTTCTCGGGTGGTGGATCTCTGCTTGGCGACTTCTCAGATCGCGTTGCGGATGCATCCCCCATATTCTCAGCTGCATGATCAGTCTTGTCTTCAGATCGTCCAAGGAGATAAGATATTGGCTGTCGGTCCGCCATAGTAGCCCTTTCAGCCGCCTTCTCGCGACTCAGTTGTTCTTGTTCGTCATACAAATTGTCAAGAAACTTGCGCAATCGAGAACGAAGAAGCCCTGACCTTAGAGGAGGCCAATCGTCCTCCACTCTCATATCTCTTCGGAGCAATTTCGTCACAAATGTGTCCGGATCCTGCACAAATTTCTCCACATATGCGAGCAAATAGAGGCCACAATCCGAATAGTTGGGCTGCAATGGAATTTCTGGAGCTTTCATCCCCTTGATCAGGGTTGTGTCAATCTCGAGGCCACGTTTGGATTGGGCCTCTTCACGGAGATAGTTGCGCAGGACGCTGATGGTGGGAGAGCGTGACAGGTTTAGTGAGTCAAACGTGATGACCGTCGGCTGCCATGCATCATATCTTGGACCCTGGCGTTTTTTCTTTGGCTTCCGTGACTTTTGACATCCTGAGACCGAGGATTGACTTGCATCTTGAGAATTGACCTGCTTGCAGGGCTCCGTATCTCTTGGCGGACTCGAGAGCTTTGCGGGAGAGGATACAGGGTTCTCCTCTTTCTCTGGCCACTCTTCGTCAGAAGGAGGTACTTCCAGCTCCTCCCTTTTCTTCATCTCCTTTTGGTCCAACAAGCTCATGGCAGCCAACGACTCCCTTGCCAATTCCTCCTTTTCCGGATTTGGTGCAGAACGAGCGCCAGTTTCGATCTCTCCGCTGTCGGAAGGTATGTTCCCAGCGGCCTCCGGCGTGTTCGGATTCTCCGAATCGTCACGCTTTGGTGGCGCTGAAGGCTCTGTGTTTCCTTCCACAAGTTCATCAATCAACCCTTCTTCCTTGGCAATGCCCGGAAGTTTCGGTAGATTGCATATAATCGCAACATACCAATGCGCTGCTTCATTGATAGGGACCACGATATAATCGTAACTGAATATGTCGACATTCCTCGTCCATTTTTGAACGCCTTCGTAATTGATACCTTGCTTACCTCTAGGCAAGTTCGTAAGTGTTGCAAAAAAGTACGAATTGAAGAAGTAAACTCTTTTTGAGACTTCCTTGTTGTTTCGTTCCAGATGATCCTCCAAGAAGCGTATGTAGAAGCCGATCAGGTTGTCGTTCAAGAACTCGTTATCACGCAGTCGTTCAAGATCTTGACCATCAACTTCAGCTTTCTTCTTGCCGAAACGTGGGTATACAAGTGGCCTGTCAAGTCCATTAGTCCTGCAAAGCGATGATTGAAGCGAATAGTGTTCAACTGACCTCTGCCACTTTCGGGAAATCTTTTCGCATTGCTGTTGAGGCGAGTTTTCCTTCTCATCATCGCTGCGACGCCAGGTTAGCAAAATTCCTTTCTAGAAGCCAGCTCATACTCACGAAACCACTGTTGTCGGCAGCATACGACGCGTCGTGGACCTTGTTGCACGACTGGAAGGTGTGGTCTCTCCTGTGTACTTCTTGACTGGTATCTCCACCGCCTCTTCAGTACCTGCTTTAACAGAGGTTGCTTCCGTCGTTCTATAGGAAGCTGTTTCTCGGGACTTCTGCATAAGTCCAGATTTTGAGGACAAGCCGCTTGGGCCAGATTGCGAAACTGCGTTAGTTTTGAGGTCGTTCTGTAATGAGGCTGAAAGCTTTGGCCGTTTCGGTACTTCAGCTGTGGTCTCGGAACCCTGTTCGGGGGCCCTCTCAGTGCATGATCGCTTGATTCCGTTCAGATACCTTCCTGAGGTATTCGTATTTTCGTTTCTTTTGAAAGCATTATCCATCCATTTACTAATTTGGTGAGCATGGAATAACAGCTTCAAGGGGAGAAATACGTACCCATCCTTTTCCACAACTCTAGCCCCACTGGCGGCAAGCAATGCGTAAAAGTCCTCCTTGGCTTCCGACGATGTGAGATTTATATCCACCGATTGATCACCGGTACCTTCGGGCCTGAGAGCGAGCCTAACTTTACAGCTTGGCGAGGTTCCTCGAAAGATCTTGAAAACTTTGTTGAAGGGTATCTGAAACGAATTCGCAGGGTCGGACCCGGTCATTTTGATTTTCTCATTGATTGGATCAACATGTACCTCGACGGTCTCATCGCCCGAGGAAGGTCCGGTGATAGTACCAAATCGAACAGAGGTTGCTTGAAAAGACCGGTCGGCACTAGGATGTGTTCCAGATCTGGTATTCTTGCGCTTGAATTTTCCTTGCCCTGGATCCGACGAAGGGACGAAGACAGTCGGTCGGATATCGGCTGGTGAAGACTTCCTTTGGGCCACTTGCTTTCCAGCGTTAATGCCGCCCCTGACGTCTTTCTTACGATAATCGCGGGAAAGGTCCGGGGCGGGCTGCACCGTCGCCGCCCCTTGCAGTTCATCTGGGCTCTCTCGCGATTCTGAGTCTCTTCGTTCATTCGTCGGATGACTGTGAAGGGATGGACTCCCGGACCTATCGAGTCGCCTTGGCTTTTTGATCTCAACACTCTGAAGGACCTCATGCTTCACACTCGGTATTGAAAAGCGCCTTTCCCTGGCAGCATTTCCAGTGAAGCACTGCTCGAGTTCATCATCTGGGGAAAAGCGATGGCGAAATCTCTTGGCCCCTAATTTGGGGCTAACTTGTGACCCCATAACCCTCATATTCTTCTCAACCTGTCGAAATTCATCAACTGCGTTGCGCTTGGGTCGCTTTGACTTATGGGCTTTTAGTGACTGTTGGCTTGATCCGGGCGACAGGCGTGCGGTGTTCCCAATGACCGAGGACGACTCCGTAACGGAATGCCCTGTTTCATTATCATCGGAAAGGTCGATGAAACTTTCGGTTGGAGAGCTCTGAGTATCTCGACGCCGGCGCTTTATGGGCCTCTCCGAAAAGTCGTGCTCTAGAAGGGTTTGTGGACGAGGTATATTGACCCCAGAAAATGTCTGATAACCCCCGCGGTTTCCCTGCATTCCCCGTGCGCGTACCGGCCCGCTCTCTCGACTTTTGGAGGAGAGCTTGTCCACTGGTTTGAGGACACCCTTGACATTCTACCAAACCTCGACGTCAGTCCAGTCATAAGAAAATGCACCCATTTCGAGAGTACCATACCTGTAACGGGTTCCTTTTCTTAGATGTCTCTCCTGGGGATTTCTTGAATGTCTCCCCAGGTACTATCGGTACTCCATTCGGACTTGGACTAGAAGAGAATCACCAGAACGTCAGCTCACAGCCGCACAAATATCCCGACATATGACAGCTTCTTGGAGACGTACCGTGTAGAATAGTAAGGGAATAATCTCTGCTCGTCCTGGCGTGAAATTGCGCGGTCCCGTCGCATCGACGCATCTTGTGTAGACCTGTATCCTTCGTATAAGCGTTGTCCAAACCGTACCCGCATGTGTGAGGCCATATTTACAGACGACTCATCCCTAGACGTAATCCAGGAATGGTCTGACGTAGTAGTAAACGTACAGGTCGAGATTCTGAGGAAGGTCGAAATCTTTCGGCATAGCGATGGAGATTCTAAAGAATAAGATCCAGTGAGTTTCGTTGCGTCGCTGCAGAGGCAGAATGAATAGGAGCATGTTCAAAGCGTATCATGATTATTCAATGTATACGCAAGAGGGTATAGGCAATAGGAGAAGAAATTAGAACAATTGAAAGGGCATAATCCCAACTCACATCGGGGGTTTGGATAGGTGGTTCAATCCCGGATTGAATGACAGACCCAAAAGACCCTAGACGAGGAGCATCGCTTACGCCGGACACCTGAGTCCGTTGTAGCTCATCAGAAGTGGCATCTGATGGCGGAGCGGGGATGGGATTCTGATGATTTGAGCGGCGCCTGGGAGAAATCAGCGGGACCAGAAACTCCGATATTGTCCCAAAAAGTGGCATGTAAAGAGAGCAAGGTTCATTAAAGTTGCAGATGATCTACCATACTCCGGATCTCATGAGGAGTGGGCAAGAAATAATAAGACCGGAAGCAAGAGAGACATTATTGGAAGAGACCAGCATCGTATCTTGCATGGATAACAAGAAAGGCGGTCGGCCGGTTATTTTCTGCCCTGCGGGTAAAAAAAAGAAAAGAAAAGAGCACGCGGAAGCTGCAGTGATTCCGCATCGTCATTGGGTGGAGATCATTTGAGCAAACAAGACCGGACTACAGAGCGTGCTAGTAGGTATCTTACGTATAAGAATAGAACCTGACTGTAGCCCATTCGATCATGAGCTCATAGAATCAATGGTACGCTAGTAGTGTATGGAAGCTTCGTGGGAAAGTATGATTTTACATTTGCGCTTGATCCAGCGCTGTCCGTTGACCTGCATCACGTCTCGTATTGCCCAAAAGAAATGAGAAAAGAAACCAGGGAACCACGAGATGAGAAAGAAGAAGAAACACAAGATGAGAAATGAGAAAGCAACCAGAAAGTCAGACGCAATGATTCGCCCCAATGCCCCGAGCCCAGAAACGTCCCAATGTTTTCGTCTTCTTTACTATACAGGACCATTCAATGAGAATCAAACCATGTAAATCAAGACGCCGCCGCTTTTCCTTTATCTCCCATGGACTCGTCATTCGCTGTAGGTCTTCGTCGGTCCCCTGCGAGGTGGTGGTGATGATGGCCAGCGCTTCCGGCCGCCTTCTCGTGGCGAGCCTGGTCAATTGCGGAGCGCTGAGCAATACTGTCATCGTGGCTCTTCCATACGATGTTGGTGTCGGCCGGGAAGGCAAGCAGACGCTTGATCGTCTCCCTGCGCAGAGTGAGTGCCACCGGTCTTGCCAATCAAGAGTGAAATATGACAACTTACCTGATCTTGATGTTGCGCCCACCGTCGATCCGGGTCCAGACACTCAACACATCCTCTCCGCTCCTTACACTGAGAACGGCGCCACAGACCTCATCGCTAGCCTCCGCGAACTGGTCACCAATCATGGCCAACAAAAGATCCTCCCAATACCGGTCAGCAACTCCCTTCTTCAGCCGAATAATCCACTTTCCACCCTTCTTGTTGGCATCGTCCTCCCATACAGGACGAATGCCTTTTTTGAAAATGTGATAGTCAGAGACGGTGGGGAGGAGCGATGGGCGCTTGAGATGTGTGTATATCGACCAGAAACTCTCGACTGAGGATATAGACGCAAGGGGAATGGTCGACTTCTCATAGTCAGAGTACTTGGGTGTCGGGGGACGGTACCAGATCACCCACGTAGACTTCAGAGCATGCTCCTTCGGGCCAGTCAAGGAGGAGGCTGAAGCTTTGGCTTTGACTTCCGCTGCCGAATCCTGCTCCGAAGCCGTCTCTCGCTTCTCCCCCAGCGCTTTGGACGAATTCAGGTCTGACGCACTGGTGCCAGGCGTCTTGGGAGTACCAAAGGACGCGAATGCGCCGGAACCCAAGCCGAATGCGGAGGAAGCATTCGTGGAAGGAGAAGACACGCCACCGGAGAGGGGGGATAATGCATTGAAGGGATTCGATCGACCACCGTGCGAGCTATCCGGGCCGAAACGCTTTGATGTGTGACTGCGGGGAAGATCGACTTTCGCGCCACCGTCCTTTGCGTCGGTTCCCGTCATGGACAGAGACAATTTGGCGGAACTGAAAGACACACGACACAAGTTAGTCTCGCGCCGAAGGGTATGGCTTGTAAACGACGAAAATCCTGGACATACTTGGCCCTGCGAGTCCACAAGTTTGCATTATCCATGGCGCTAGGTAATCAGACCGTCGAAAAGCAAACGGTCATCAGGGAGAGAAAAAGGCGCGGCAAGCAGATGCGAGGAGAAGCTGCTATCGCAGGGCGTAACCAGGACAGGCGGAAAAAAAAGAGTCGGCAATACCAAGTCCTCAAAAAATGGCAGGAAACGGCCGGAAGATCTGAAAAACAAGAGAAAGCTAATGGGCGAGATCGATGCTAGGCCAAATAGATAAATAGAAATAGTAAAAAAAAATTCGTGATCGTGATCGTTAACGAGGTGTGAGTATGTGTAAGTGTGTGAGATTGTGTGTGGAGGGGAGAAGAGGTAATGCGGATTTACTGTAAGGTAGGTAATAGGTCAAGTAGGGACGAGTTCGTGGAATACTACCACTAGTAGAGCAATAGCAGAGTGAAAGTAGGGTGTAGGTGCCTAGATGGAGGTAATGGTAAGGGTAGTGATGGTGGTGGTGGTTGTTGTACGTATGTAGGTAGGTAAGTATCGAGTCTTAAGAGCAGCAGACCTAGAAAGCAGAATCATCACCACTCAACTAACTCAAGGACCATTCCACTGCCCAAAATACGCTGGTCATTGGCCTTTCACGTTTCCTTCGAGCTCTGCCGCTCCCCTCCTCTGGCATCCAGCCAATCACCATCTGTCCCGCCCTTCTCCGCCCGCACCATCGTTTTTCCTGCTTTTTTCCCCCTTCTTAAAAGAATCCTCTCTTTTTTCTCCCTATTCTTTTCTTCTTCTTTAACAAAATCCAAGACCACCAACTCAAATCATCGCTGGCTGCGTATCGTTCTACCGCTTCCACTGCTCTGGCGATTCCGATGAGTGCGTCGAGATGAATTCTCTACAGAATCCCCGCGTCTAAAACCATCATCACGAGGGCTTTCCAGCTACCCATGATGCGGTGATGACCTGAATGACGGGACATTCCATCCTCTAGAATACCCATTTATTTACTTTGATCCAATATGACTTGGTTCCCATGCGCAGCAGCTATACCCTTTCTTGAATTTACTCAAGTGGTAACAAATAACGATTCATGTTCGTTTGTAGAGCCGGTGCGTGTGTCCCTTTCCGTCCTCCATCGTGGGCCTCGTTGGCTTTTCCTGTTTGTTGTCCTCCTTGCATGCATGACGAAGCACTCGTACTCTGGTAATCCGAGGTGCTCAACCGCCTCTATCGTGCTGTAATGGCCTGGCTGGTTGAGCGTGAGGTTCAAAGGCAAAGTCTGATTGTCGCAAGACGCTGAAATACTTCATAACTGCCTTTTGTTTCTTCATTTCTCTGTTGCTGATATGATCTTCACGTAGTATGTAACTTCTGCTCTCCATTTTCTGGATTCTCCTGGAGGTCCAATGCTCTAATTATATGACTCGCCCTCTTAACGTCCTGCAACAATGACGGAGCATAAGCGTGCAGTTGTCCGTTCATCATCCGCCAGTGGTATCTACCGGGTCAAAAGAGTACGATCATTTTTCAATGTCTCTTAGAATAATTTGAATCGAACTTAAGCTGAGTCTATACATTTGCCTGTCACACAGCCTCTCAACTCTCAATTCGGAATAGAAGGATATGTTAGCTAGATCGAATCCGCAGATCCTGCTCATGCCACCCGTTAAACCACAGATTTAGAGTACTTTCTCTCGCTCCATCCTCTTCCGTTCAGAGTAGACCAGGCGAGTGTCGGAGCAGAATATTTGCTCGTAATGTGAAGACGAAAGTCTCATCAACAGCTGACGCCTGTGGCGAGTCAGGTGATGGATTATGTAGTGTCGCAACGACGACAAAAGCATTCCATGACTACTATGGAGCATATATGCGGCGCAGAAGAGCACAAAACATGAACCTACTGTTCAGTAGGCTGTGCCGAGGGCTGTGGGTTCTCCACGTCTTGTCTGACGCGCTTCGTCTCCCTTTCGCTTTGCGGAGCTGACAAAGCGGCTTTCCTTTTCTCTTTATCTTTCTGATACTCTGCGCGACGAGCTTCCTTGTCCTTCTCCTTGCGCAGTGCTTTGGACTCGAATTCGTGCCAGTCACCCTCGATATTTTCCAACCTGCAACTGTTAGTCATAGCCTAACAGAGAGAGATACATAGCAAACTTACTCGACGGCTCGTTGCGGAGCTGGCTCCTCTGACACAAAATAGGAGTGTGTCAGTACTTCCTCCGCTGAGGGTCGCTTCGCAGGGTCGTATCGGAAGATCTGAGAAACTAGGTCCAAAGCCGCTGGAGACAGTACTTCGCTGTATACGTCTTCAAAGACTCGCTTCTTGCGCTCCGTCGGCCGCATGAGCTCAAACCAGGGCATCTCAACAAGGTCAGGCCATTCAACCCGGGTAGGCGTCCCAAGAGAGGCGTAGAGCTTTTCAAGCTGACTGATTTCGCCCCCTTCTCCGGGGAAGACAGCCTTCTTTGTAAACAATTCGACAAACACACAGCCTGCGCTCCAAACGTCTACGGCAGGGCCGTATCTGGTCTCTCCGAGAAGAAGCTCCGGTGGCCGATACCAGATCGTAATCACACGGTTGGTGTAATCAAGTTGGCGACTTTTAGAGAAAAACCGCGCCAATCCAAAATCTGCGAACTTCAACAAGCCCCTATTGCTGATGAGGATATTTGCTGCCTTGATGTCGCGGTGCAGAACGCCCCGGTGGTGGAGGTAGTTCAAGCCGTCAAACATTTGCTTGGCGAGATCCTTCTTGTGAGCAGCGGTGAGGGTGAAGGTCGGGTGATTGATGAGACCTGTGAGATCGTGCGAAAGATATTCGAAGACCATAAAACACTCATTCCTCTCGACCA